CCCCGGACCCCATCCCCTTTCGGGGATGGTCATTTGCCTCGGGGGAAAACCTTCTCAGGGATAAAGCTCACTCAGGTGCCTGCTACCCGAGAGAAGGCGGAATTCCTCCGTGCCAAGGTCGACGCACTTATGAAAGCTGCGATCGAACCGGGTCCTGAGGGACAGGAAAGCGAGGGCTTCTACTCGACTTATTTCCTAGTCACCAAACAGTGATCTCAGCTGTCGAGACTGGCTACTGTCAATAGACTTAAAATACGCCTTTCTCCTATCTCCACATACCCATACACCCCGAGTTCAGGAAATACCGAGGTTTTCTTTCGGCGGGAGGTGTTATCAGTTCAGGGTTCTACCATTCGGGATCTCCACGAAAAAGCCCCGAGGGTGTTCACCAAGCTGATGTTGTTTCCTGCCCAAGTGGCCAGGTCGAAAGGTCGGTTCTGCCATCCGTACCTCGTCGAATGGTTCCTAAGAACTCTATCGCAATCCCTGAGTCAGATAGCTACACAAGAAAGTGATAGACATTCTGATCACTCTAGGGTAGATGGTCAATCTCAAGAAGTCAGATCTGAGCCCCACTCAGAATCTAGTCTTCCTAGGGGCTAATTTCAACACGGTGAGAGGACGTGTATCTCTGTCACAAGATATCAGGTTCCTTAAGCGCAAGTCACACTGTTGTACATGGTTGAGGACAACCATGAATGGATGCTTAATAGTCCCTGACTATGATGAACTTACAAGATATGATCTATCTTGTGTGTATTCCCAAACATGAACGTTGCCTGTTGCAGGGGCGTTAAAGAAGTTCCATGAAGTGAACAACACACTGCCTGAGAAGATCATCGTGTACCGGCCATTAGAAACGGCTTGGGGTTTTGTTATATCATACAGCATTGGTCTACAATTTTTTCCTTTACAAAGATATCAAGTTCCTTAAGCGCAAGTCACACTGCTCGTACATGGCTCCAGTTACTGGACAACATGGTGGCAACAGTGGATGTGGTCTGGCGCGCGCTTGAGAATGTGCACTCCGTCGACTATGGGCGAACTCGGAAGATCTCGAGACTGTGCTCGAGACTCCGTAGTGACTCATTACACACCTCCAGTGGTGGACCGAGGTCAGGAATGTGTCCTGGGGGCTCCCCCTCGACACTCCCGTTCCGTCTCTCACAGTTCATACAGACGCGCACTCCCCGGCTGGGGAGGCGTTCTGCATGATCACACTGCCTCGGGACTGTGGTGCCAGCAGATCAAACTGCATATCAATGTGCTAGAACTGATTGGTTGGTTGGTTGGTTTGTTGTTTACCGCCGCACTCAGCAATATTCCAGCTATATGACGGCGGTCTGTAAATAATCGAGTCTGGACCAGACAATCCAGAGATTGATATCATGAGCATCGATCCACTCATTGGGATCGATGGCATGCATCAACCAAGTCAGCGAGCCTGACCACCCGATCCCGTTAGTCGCCTTTTATGACAAGCGTAGTTGCCTTTAAAGGCAAGCATGGGTTGCTGAAGACCTATTCAACCCCGAATCTTCAACCAAATGGCGATGTCTTACATCCGAAAGCAGGTGGGAACAGCGCCTCCGTCGCTTCGACGAAAGACGTGGCAGTTCCTCCTATAGTGCGACTCTCACGATATCAGGGTGCTACCTGTTTATCTCCCAGGGATGGACAACGTCCGTGCGGACGCTCTGTCTTGCCGGATCCTCGCTCCTCACGAGTGGAGGCTCGACCCGGGGATATTCGGGATTTTCTCCCTGTTATACAGGCCGTTACAGGTGGATCTGTTTGCGTCTGGGGTGAATCACCAGACACCAACGTTCTGATCCCGGGTCCGTGACCCGGGGTCGGTGGCACCGGACGCCTTCCAGCTAGATTGGACGGACAGTTCTGTGGGCATTCCCCCCAGTACCTCTGATTTCCAAGGTCCTGTCTCAGCTAGGCACTCAGCCTGTGAGACGAATTGTGCTCCTGGCACCTCTTTAGTCGGCGCGGTGTTGGTTTCCAGTAATACTCAGGTTTCTGGCCCAGCCTCCTGTTATACTACCTTTACGCCCGGACCACCTATCCCAGACCGGGGCCCTCCACCTGAATCCCAGGATTCAATGGGTGGCCTGGCCACTGTCAGGAATCGCCTCCAGACGAGCGGTATTCCTGCACGAGTTGCAGACACAATACTGGCTTCGCGGAGGGATTCGACAAACGTTCAGTACGAGGATAGATAGGCCTGCTATGCACCCTGGTGTGTCGATAGAGGGATTGCAGATCTCTTTTTCTGCAGATCTCGTAGCCGTGCTTGAGTTCCTCCAGTTGACGGCCTGGCCGCATCGACAGTCCGAGGGTACTCTACAGCTATCGCAGCTTTTCACGTCCCTGTCGATGGGGCACTTCTGGGTGCACACCCATTAGTGCAGCGCTTTTTAGCAGGTGTGGACAGGATCCGACCGCCAGTCCGGCGGATCAGTCCCCCTTGGGACTTGTCAATCGTTCTCGATTGGCTGTCCTGTCCTTCCTTTCAGGATCTGTCGTCTCTCTCTCTTCAGCTGTTGAGCTGGAAGACGGCGTTCCTTGTGGTGGTAACGTCCGGCAGACGGGTAGGCGACATTCGTGTTATGTCAGCCGATCCCGAAATAACTGTCTTCCACCGGAACAGAGTCAGTTTTCGACTACCGGACTCTTACCGTCCTAGGGTCGCACACGCTTCCACGTGAACGGCTCCTATTGAGCTACCTGCTCTTTCACAGCCTTCCTCGTCGGGGACCACTGCAAGACATGCCCATGTCTTGGATGTCCGCATGACCCTCAAGGCCTATATCAGCAGAACTATGAACTATTTTGCTGTTACGGCAGTAGGACGGCTGGCTCACCTGCGAGCAAACAATCTTCTCTCGAGGTGGATAGTTTCAACCATTTGTACAGCGTATACGCTTACAGGCAGGGACCCCCTACCAGGTTGAAGGCTCCTTAGGTTAGAGCAGTGGCTACGTCAAAAGCGTATGCCGCGGCTCTGCCCATTGAGCAGATCTGCTCCGCGGCCCTTTGGAGCCAGCCGAGCACAATTCATCAAACATTACCAACTCGACAAACACTCCAGCGAGCTTCCTCGGTTTGGTCAGTCAGTTCTCCGAACTGGGCAAAGTTCTAATCTAAAGCCGATTGAGCGTTCGAGATTTTAGACAGTCCTCCGGTTATACTGCTCAGTAATGGTCCGGATTTTATCTTCTGCGGTCGATAAATATCAGTCCTTACTACTCGATAATACTCGTATTTTGTGCACGCACTCCTTCGATCCTCGGGGACCCTCTGCCCTAGCTCAGCCCTTGTTATGGTCTCTCGTGATCTACGCCCCTATATCACTTGTTCAAAAAGTGTTGGGGGGTGGGAGGTGTTTCGAGTTCTCAACTTATGACAAGCCGCAATAACAGGCTTTATCATAATATATGGTCGACGACGCCCTGTCTCTAGCCCCCGATTTTCGACGGTGGTGCCTCACGATAAGGTTGGTTCCATTTATTGAACTCTTGTTTATTCATTGAAATAATCAAAATACGATGTATTTATGCACGCTTGTTGCTGACGGATGCCACTTCCTAGATTATCTTTAGGAGTCTATCTTGATGCAATAAGTGCCCCAAGGAGGATTTAATCTGAAAGAGAATTTTACAAACCTGTAGAGGTTATGAATTCTCTGATGAAATCCTCCTTGGGGCACGGCCACCCCATAAGGGTGGTCGTATATCGCACAAAAACGAAGTTTTTTGTGTGGTAACATTTTTTATTAAGGAAAATGGTTACAACTATGTCATGTAGATTTTCTTGAGCAAGGAAAATGCAATAAGTGCCCCAAGGAGGATTTCATTAGAGAATTCATAACCTCTACAGGTTTGTAAAAGTTATTGGACAGTTCCATTGAATAGAAAAATACTCGCATTAAGGTACATGGCTATTAGAACCGTGAAGATCTGGGGTAGACTAGTTCTTCAGCAACCCATGTGGTTCGCAGTTGAAGACTAAACTCAGATTAACTAAACATGAACTTACCTTGCAATCAACTAAACGTGAAATCCCCTTGTAGTGTAATGAACAATGAAAATGTTATAAGATAAAATGAAATGGACTTGAAACTTAAGGTGAAGTAACCGTTTGTTTAGCGTATGTCAACAGTGTAAATGGGTAACTCTCTCAACTATTTCTATTCTATTCTATTTCTGTACTTTTCTAGTTTACTATTTTGTAACTTAGAGAGAGATATCCATTTACTACTTGCACATATGAACGCCATAATCCAACTGAACTACACTGGGTCCAGAGCATGCACATTTTACGCTCATCCAGCAAGAAGCACATACTGCATGCCAACTTTAACGCTTTCCGCAAAGCTGTTTTGTACCCATGAATCATCCGCTGTGTCCAGGAACCTGATGCATGTTCCTGGACACTTGTTCCAAGACACCATGCTTGCAATAATAGGCGATTATGCTTGTCGTAAGAGGCGACTAACGGGATCGGTTAAAATTTGCTATATAGATAAGTGTAGTGGTGACCCGTGAAGATCCTGGTTAGAATAGGTCTTCAGCAACCCATGCTTGCCAATAAAGGTGACTGTGCTTGTCGTAAGGGGCGACTAACAGGATCGGGTGGTCCCAATTGCGTGGATCGATGCTCATGATGTCAATCACTGGATTGTCTTGGTGAAGTGAAAGGCCTGTGAAGTTTCAGGGCACTGATAGCTGATAAGATGTTTATCAGCTTACTTCTTTTCTTTTTTTTCATGAATGAAAGATTTGTGAATGTTGAATAAATTTGAAAGAAAAGAGAATGAAAGTTTTGTTGTTCATTAGTAAGTAAGCTGATCAACATCTTATCAGCTGTCAGTGCCCTGAAACTTCACAGGCCTTTCACTTCTATTCCCATGTTTTCAAAACATATCCTTTGGAAACTTTGCACAGTCCTTGGCACTCTTTTCTCATATTGTCTCATAAGTCATTTTGTTCTCATCCTCAGAGGAAGAAAAGCTTGTCTGACAGCGATGGAGATGGATCCTTATGAAGAGACTGACCAACAAGGAAAGCCAGCTTATGGGCATACTGACATGGAGCCGGCACTCGGATTGTTCCCTGCAAGAAGTAACAATAGATTGGCATATTCTGCATTGAAAAAGTTAATCATTTTGAGTGAGTAAGTGAGTGATATATTTTGCTGCTTTTAGCAGTATTCCAGCAATATCATGGCGGGGACACCAGAAATGGGCTCCACACATTGTACCCATGTCGAAATCAAACCTAGGTCTTCGGAGTGACAAGCGAACACCACCATGAGTATAAATAGCCCGCAAGGTGGCGGTGTTTCAGTTTCGAACAATGTCTGACAATGTAAACACAACCGAGTGTCGGGAGACGTTTTTTGAAAACCATACGGGACAAGATTACCATTGACCGTCAAACTTGGTATCAACTTGAATAACAAACCATGGATACAACAAATGGCTCCATATCAAGATATAAGTCAATAAATTTTCTGTAGTTTTATCCTAAAAAATCGAATCGATCGTGTTTGGCGTCTGCATCGATCACAGTGGGCGGAGCTTATTTACGTTTGCGCTATAAATAGCAAAACACATGGTCATGTGTACATGTGCCGATGTGGCACATTCAATGCATTTGTGGTCAAAGTGTATTGTGTTGTATATTTTTACGGCAGTACAGCAGCAGAACATCAGTTTCAGTTAATGTAACAGTAACGATACTTAAATACGAAATTGACGACGCAATTCTTTCAGTTCAATCTGAAAATTACAGATATTTGTTTAGTTTTGGTCATTTGCATTCAACAGTTAGATTTGTGCCACACAATAATCAGTTCATATTCATGAAACGTAAATTATTACAGAGATTTTTCAACTAGTGTTTAGGAAGGGGCCTAATTTAAAGCACCAGAAGTTGCGCCAATATTTCTCAGCTTGACTACAATTGATGAATATGTCACATGTATCAACATAACAATGCACATAAGCAACTGGTAAATAAGTAACTGATTATACTTGATGTCTTGGCCTAGAGAAGGCGTATCCGGATAATATTGTACTTACGATAAACGAAAAACTCCAATACACATATTCCAAGACAACTTTATTTATGAATTTCCTTTGCTTTCACAGAATTTTCACACACAAAACTGAGTTTGATCATTAGATCCACACTTGTCCCATGTAATTTTTGTTCGAGGTATTTGGATACACTTCGAGCACAAGTTTTAAAATACAACCTGGGATCCCTTTCCCGTTTTGTCCACACCAATCCTTCATTTGCTGCAACGTTTAATTCCGTTTCTTCAAGTCCAAGTATCTACGATCTCTCCAAACACTTCGTATAATTAGCTCAGTCCAGAAACAATGTGTTCGAATCGACGAATTTCTGGAACATGGTGGCCGCACCATTCCCTAACTGCGATTGCCTGTGCCGTGTCACGCATGGTTGACAAAAGAAGTGTGAACATACATATTCGGCTTCATCTGGTTCCAAAATGAAATCTAGCTGTGACACTCATTCACTAATCCCAAGAATCGGCACTGAATTTATCAAAGTTTCTGTTGAATTGCAAGGGCGGGAAGAGAGGCGCCATCTTGTCGATTCGAGTTGTAAATTGGAATGATGTCATCTTGAACTGGAACTTTCTCCACGATAAAGTCACCAATGTCACAATCGAAATGACCTAAGGCTCCCTGATTATCTCGAACAATTCTTCGTCAAATTAGGCTTCACATGAAAATGTTCCGTTGCTCATATATAAGACAAAATTGCAAAGTTCTTGACAGTTGTAAGCAGCAACTCGATGCGCTCATGGGGCGTGGTTGCTAGGAGATCGCGTGTTCAGAAAGGCGAAAATAAAAAGTTTTAGAAAGTAATAAAAGAAATACCCAGTGCAATGAAAAAGTACCATGTACAGGATATTTTTTAATAATATTATTCACGAAAAGAATCTTTTCTAAAAATGCAAAATAATTTATTAATTTATCCCAAGGTCGTAACCCTGATCACGTGGTTGGTATTTGGAAGGAATCTTTGCGATGATGCCGTGAATGAGGCCGTGTGTATTACATTGTTGAATTCAACTGCCCAGGAAGATTGTTGAGGCACATTATGACAGATGTTCGTCATGGATGGAGAGAAAAATGTATCTGAGAGAAACATTGCTTTGAGCTTCGCGACAAAACACTACTGCCGAAGTAGCCAGCGACCTGAATATAAGCTTGATGAAAGTAATGTTGAAACCCATTTTCACGCACATGACAGAATTAATGTGAACAAATATTTATCTGAACATCATTTTGAAGTCTATGAGGCTGTCCAGATTTGAATATTTTTATCTCCATTCCGACGTGAAATAATATAATGTCTTCGTGTCTCAATTTTGCTGCCGCTGTGGAAAATTGCGCACCGATCTATTAAAAGAAATACTACTAGATCTACAATTGCACCGTCATAAAAGAACCAGGTCAACTTTATCTTTGTTCCCATGTTAATTAAAAATATGTTTCCGAAAAAAAGCGAATCGATCTCGATTCATAGACTAGATTCTAGTACCAAGTGTTGAACCTTTTTTAAAATGTCATAAAATAACTTACACAATTATTGAAAGACATTTTTTGATTAGTCATAAATTTTATTTCGTCCGCGCTCTCTCTGATTAGTTGAGTCTTGAGGGGAGAAAAACATACAAAAAATATGGATGGCCTTTGGCATGCCAATCAACAGGGATCTGGGTCACTGGGACCCGCCAAGTTTCACGGATCGAGTTACTTCGGCATGAGGAGCTTCATCAGACAAGTGAGACTTTGCCAAAATACATTGCTACTGGGCAATGAAAAAACGACAAGAAACTACTTTGATCACTTGAAAATATTTTTGACCATTACCAGGGTTTTTTACACGATCGTTGTCATCCAGATTCCAGATGAGGCAAGACGAACACAACGAAGAAAAACATTGTTGAAATCACCGATTGCTGTATATATTGTGAGAAATGCTATTTATAAACTGCACATATACCGTACTCAACAGGATAACGATTGGTGCCCCAACACATATTATGTTTCTTGTTAATTTACACTGCTCATATGCATCACGACAAACGTATTTCGTTCTCGATTTAGAACCATAATTTGTGTGTTGGACTGTGTTGGATAAATCGTGGACATTCCACGGTATCATTTTATGAAGATGTGAAGACGACATGGCTGGTAGGTTTTGAAACCAAAGATGTACGCGGTTGTTGAAAAGTCTTGGAATCGTTTGGTAGATATTTATATTACCATTAAAACTTACGCCCTTGTTGTCAAACGGCCCACGTGGGTGGGTGTTTACATGACGTCACCCGTTTACACATTAACCAATGAAATGTATGTGTTACCGTGACGTCATATTGACCTGTCAAATCACTTGTATAAGCTCCGCCCACTAGAGTGCAGTAGTTACTACCGCAGATGGACAAGGCTACCTATCATTTTGAGACCAGTCTCTTGGGGAAACTTAGATAATCATCAGGCATTGAAAGTTTTCTATGTTATTCAACATATCTTTACTCCATTAGGTACAATCTATAGAGCATTTTTAAACCAATAAGTAGACTTTTTTCTTAATTTGTTTCAAGTGATTTGATTTCCAGATGTTCATGTTCCTCCCCAAGTATGTCACACAAGTCTGACATGATAAACATGTCTAACCTCTCGTCACAATATAGCTGAAATATTGCTGATGTGACGTTAAATTTTAACTTGCTCACATGTCTACCTTGCAAAAAGCATGAGACACAGTGGCCATTTATAGTAGTTGAGATCCTTGGTAAGGGGCTGACCATCTGATAATTTGGTGGTGTGTGTGTGCCGGGCGGGGACAGGGAGATGAGAAGAAGAAAAGAATTGCCAAAAAAATTACATCATTGCAAGGTTGGTTGGTTGTTGTTGTTGTTTTACGCCGCACTCAGCAATATTCCAGCTATATGATGGCGGTCTGTAAATAATCCAGTCTGGACCAGACAATCCAGTGATTGACACAATGAGCATCGATCCACGCAATTGGGATTGATGACATGCATCAACCAAGTCAGTGAGCCTGACCACCCAACTCTTACGACAAGCACAGTCGCCTTTTACGGCAAGCATGGGTTGCTGAAGACGTTCTACCCCGGATCCGACCAGTTTAAGTAGCTGGTGACCAATTTTAACCCGGTATCCCCATAGGGAGTTACATAAACTGTCAAAAGATGGGTGGACACACAGTGCATGATTCATTAGCTTTACTCTGTCCATAGCACAATATGCTAAGGAATCAACTTTTGTCTTCACTCTTGCCCATACTAGGCACACTTCAGTAGTTTACACCTTCTCTGAATTGGTGTTTGGTGTTTAATGCCGACTCAGCGATATTCCAGCAATATGACGGCAGTCTGTACATATTCCAGTCTTGACAAGACAATCCAGTGATTGACATCATGAGCATCGATCCACGCAATTGGGACCACCCGATCCTGTTAGTCGCCCCTTACGACAAGCACAGTCACCTTTAACGGCAAGCATGGGTTGCTGAAGACCTATTCTAACCAGGATCTTCACGGGTCACCACTACACTTATCAATATAGCAATATTGCCGTTGTGATTTACAATCTTAACTCACTCAAATGTATATTTCCAACTTCGTAAATTGCCTAGAGTCCTATGCCCAGAAGGCGCCAGCTCATGGGCCAATCTGGTGGAAAAATTGATCTTTTGATTTTTCTGCTCGAGGATATCATCCGAGTATCCTTGGTGCTGCAAGACGGTGGTCCACTTGCATTTAGCATTGTCTTTATGATACTCCATGGTGGGTGGGGAGCTCGGATGATGAAACTTACACACTAAACATGGATTACGAAACACCCCTTAAAAAACCCCAAACGTCCTCTTGATACTGATCATGATGTTGCCGAACATAGACCGTCCAAATCCATCAAATACTGGCCATGTTTCCTGGTTATTGAAACTCCTGACAAGACGCCAATCAAACTGAACCCATTTGCAATATCAAAGGGTATTCAGGGCATTGCAGGCGAGGTTAAAAACATCAAACGTTTACGATCTGG